AAAAAAAAAAGAAAAAGAAAAATTAAGTATACATAGGGGAAAAAGACAAAGAATGAAATGTCAACAGTGATACTGTCAGATTGGTGGGTTTAGGAATTAGATATACTTCCTTACCTTTACTAGTATTTCTTGAAATGCTTAAAACAAGCCATAAGGTTTTAATCGGGAAAATTTTTGAAAACGTATTTTTATTTGGCAAAGCCCTATACTGTAATGATAGGGATTTCAAAGAAATATTTCAAATATACCCGCTTTTCTGGACACYTAAAACTTATAAATGAAGGTAAAAGGTTAATAGTAAATTATACAAAATKAATATAATGTCCGAACCCTGGATTTATTTGTCAAACATATTCCTTATGTTTATTTTTATGTGTTGYCAAGGGTGGCCTTGAACTTGCAATCCTCCTGCCTTGCCTCCTGAGTTGCTGGGACTACCAGCCATGTGTGCCACATACAGCAATGTTTAGCTTTTATATATATGGGTGATTGTTTTGGGTACTTACCTTAAAATCATTATGTATTTCATAGGTAATATAGGTTTTGTTTCATAAAATTAGTTCCTAAYAATCTTCATGGTCTTAATTAGCAAAATAATTAACTGATACCAGTCTGTTTATAAATTTAATTTTGCCCCCCCCCATTCTCATTTGGTACAGAGGATTGAACCCAGGGCTCTTAACCACTGAGCCACATCCTCATCCCTTCTCAATAATTCATTTAGAGATAGGATCTTGCTGAATTGCTTAGGGCCTTGCTAAGTTGCTGAGGCTGGCTTTGAACTCTCGATCCTCCTGCCACAGCCTCTCCAATCACATGTGCTGCTGCACCCAGCTTGTCCTATTTTTTTAAGTTAATTACCCCAAGCCTTACTACTTCTATAGGCAGTGTTATTTATGTTGTCTATTTTAACTTTCCAGTGCTCTGTAAATCCTTAATATTTTGTTCAGTGATCTGTTCTAAAGTGTCAGTTGTTATAGGCAAAAATCATTCCTGTTAAGTTTAACCTGTGCTAAGTTTAAGATGATTGTAAAAATGCAAACACCCATTAGTCTAAGTTCTAAGTTATTTTGTA